ACATAAATATCAATCAATCTCATGGCGATAAGAGTTAGATCTGGTTTACCACAAAACTATAGCCAGTGTTTTATTAATTCATTTTCTTACACGACATTCAATGCACTGAATTAGGGACAGAAGTAAGACATGTGCAAAGACGGCGTCTCCCTATTTATGTCAAATACCCATCACTTCTGTATAGTGTATATAATATACAGTACAGTGTATTGCGAAACATAATCTAAAACCTATTATAATTCAAATGCACTATTTTTTAGAGCCTATCCTTTAACACAAGTCTTGTATAACTTCCTTCCCTCTCATCAAACTTCAAACATCAAAATGCATTCAAAATAATTTATACCGAGATTTTAGCCCTAAAAATATTCTAAAGTATTAATTCTGTTACCGTTTTCTATACTCTCTATCATATCATACAATGTATTTATTCTTCAAATATAATCCTTTTCTTTGTGTTTATCCATACATTGCATTGTATTATCGTTTCGCTATTCTGTTTGTCTTTCTCTTTAACAATATTTATATTTTACAAAAATAACAATAATTATAATTTTAAATGTCATTTATTATATACAAAATAGGATCAACCAGATTAATGGTATTTAAAAGCAAATTTAATGAACAAAATTAAAATAATAACCATTTATAACGCCATTATAATGCATATACAGTAAAAGGTTTAAGTTTGTTATGAAATAATATTATAATTTAACGATTTCTTTCTCTTAACAAATGATTTTTCCTCAAATCCAGTATAACTTTTCCGCTATTTGTTATAATTTATATATTATTTTAATTTAAGCAATGCTTTAATGCAATACATATCATGAGAATATTTATTTGAATTTTATTGATTGCGAATAAGATATGTTTTATTCAATTTTATTACATAAAAACATAAGACTAGAATAGCTTTTGGCTAAAAAACAATAAATTTTTGGTCATAACGACAATCTTTAACCATAAAGTTATATCAATAATTGGCAATTTTTGTGTCGACAATACAGTACAACCATATCATAGACGTCTCCCAAATAGAAAGACATCT